TACTCAACAGAACGTGTCTTGACCCTGATTGTAATTTATATCCTGAGGCAGAACAAACAGTCTAGAATGGTGACAGTTGTGGTTGAATGTGACAGAAAAAAAATTCCTCCCTTTCACACTTTGAAGGTGCGTCGCCCTATCAATCATGATCCTAATCCATACTGAAATCTCAGATGACCAGACAGTAATTCATCTTTTATCAACTCTTAAAATATTGGTGTCCAGGACATCGAGAGCCCGTACACCATTAATTTTTAAAAGCTTAGTTTAAATGTGATATGAATAAACAGTGCTTGGCTGTTGAGAGAAATTGAAATGAGTAGAGCTTGGACCCACAGACAGGATTTTCTTACATCAAGACTTGACTTAAATTGATTGTGATGTATATCTTAGCACAGGGGTTCTCAAATCTGGCCCTTGAGGTCCACTTTCCTGCATAGTTTAGCTCCAACCTTGATCAAACTCACCTGTCTGTAGCTTTGCAGTGATCCTGAAGACCTTGAGTATCCTGTTCAGGATTGTAAGATGGCGCCGACGCTGATGGCTGCCTCCGTGGCGTGCTCCGCAGTTGTTTTTATGTTTTTGTTAGTTTGTCCTGTCTTTAGTTATATCCCTGCAATCAGTTTCGGAAGTACACACCACCCGATATTTCACCGGTTTTCGATTATTCTGATGTTTTGCTGGACATTGTAATCGGGGGAGCTGCGGCGCTGATCAAGCGCTTCAGGAGTCACGAAAACAAATTCCTCGTATGTGTAAACATACCTGGCAATAAAGCTCATTCTGATTCTGATTCTGATTCTGAGGTGTATTTGATTAGGGACGGAGCTAAACTCTGCAGGAAAGTGGACCTTGTGGGCCAGAGAACCCCAGTTCTATAGTGCAATGACTTCTTAAATGAGAAAAAAATATGGGGTGGGGTTTGATTTTGGGAACTGGATGGTTGGATGGTTGTTTGTTAACTGCTACAATCTGATGTTAGTGACAGGTTGCTGGAGGGAAGGGAATATTGCCAATCCCTTGCACAGATGCACACGAACTCGTGAAAGAACAGACCTATATTTAGGAGTGAGGGGAAGGGAAAATAAGGTATTTTTTTATTTTTTTTTAAGATTACTATGACACAGATGCATTGGAATAATTTATAATAAATACTATGATATTCTATACTGCAAAATAGCCAATTTCATGGTGCCTTTAAATACTTCTCTGTCTTTATCTGTTGCACAAATCCATCAATGATATTTTTTTTTTGTTTTTGTTTTTTTGGAAAAATCAAAGGCATGGCATGCCTCTGCACTTTGGAAAACAAAAAACATGAATCATTTCAGTATTTTAAGCACACGTGAAACCTGCATTCATATAGGGTAATTGCACTGCCACAACATCCAGCCACAGGTAAAACAAATCTGCAATCAAATGAACTAGCAGAACAAGCCTTAATTGTTAATTACAAAGAAAAAAAAAAGCAAAACATTGCAACTCAATTATGTAGTGACTGTCAAAATAAGTCATTTGGAAATGCATCTTTCATTCAGCAGTGATCAGCAGTGAGCCAAAAAAAAAAGGAAATATGAGAATCTCCAATCTCAATTCATTTATGGAAGGAACAGGTTTCAGTGCGGAAACAGACGGCGCTTTATGGATGCAAAAGATAATATGTTCTTAGATGGGAAATGAGATCAAAGTTTATGTTCAAATATGCTTGGAATCACATCTGCCAGAGGAAACGATCAGAGTAAATCAGACAGCTGGACAGAGAGGCAAAAACAACTTAGATGCCAACTGCCAAAAGATTCTATTGTTAAAATGACTTTGAGTCCAGACACCCTGCCCTCTCATCATCTCTCCATTAATACATATTTACATAGCCTATGGACTTGCAAGATTTCAAATTGGCTGTTTTCAAATTCATACATTATTATTCTGCGATACATAGAATGTCAAACCAAGTCTGGTATTACATCTGTCGCCTTGCTATAAGCATAGTTTTACCTGTTTTCTCCTCATTCGTATTCCTCTAATGTGTGAATATCAGTGGTCCCGTGTGACAACAACATACCTAGAATGAGCAGTAAAGGTTGTGTGGTGCCAGGCGCGGTGAATAAGGCGACTCTTTATGGTCCATGTGGGCATTGGCCTTGTCAGACAGCGTGGCGTTAATGATAATTTTGGGCTAAACTGCCAGAGGCTGAAAGTGGTTACAGGAAAAACACATAAAAACACAGGAGCCCCGCCAAAGCCTGACTCAAATTAACAGCAGTTAACGTCAAAGCAGAGGACAGAGCTGACTATATCTGCTTCACCGCTCAGATAAACAATGAATCTGACTGTCTGATTAATACACATTGGCAGTGTATAGCAGAAACACGTCAATGAGGAATCAAAGGTCAAAAACTGTGGAGGTGCTTCTTTACCCTTGTGAAAAACAAGTGTATTAAAAGCAGTGTTGGGAAGGTTACTTTGGAAATGTAATAGGTTTCAGATTACAAGTTACCCTATTTAAAATGTAATAAGTAGTGTAACTATTTCAATTACTTTATTAATGTAACTGATTATATTTGATTACTTTTTGATTACTCTTCTAAATTCTTTTTGAAATCAAATATTTGCATAGCTATGGTTGGAAACACTGGCATCTAACAATGCCTTGAAAAAAAAAACTGTTAATCTTAAAAAATAAAGCATATGCATAAACCCAAAAGGAAAAAAAGCAATTGTCAAATAAGCATGTGTCCTATTCTGTGTCCTTAACTCCTGAAACATTGGGGTCTCATGTTTTAGAGCAGTCAATGCAATTTGGGAAAAAAAGAAGACATCAATTAAATCTGTGTGATTTTGTAATTAAATTGTGTAATTATGTTACATGTAAATTACTCTCCAGCACTGATTAAAAGTGCACTAGTAGTGTACTTCAAATCTTAAAAGTATATTAAACAACAACAACAACAACAAAAAAACCTTTCAATAAGTTTACTTTGCATTCAAGACAGACACCAATCTTCCCAAGAGTGTATGTCCCAGGAAATTCACCCCATGGTCAGACCGCACAATACTCTGAGAAACTGCAGACAACCCAAGAAGTACACCTCAGACCCTACAGGCCTCAGTTAACATATTAAATGATAAAGTTTGTGACAGCACAATTAGAAAAAGACCTGACAAGTATGGCATGTTTGGAAGGCTTGCCAGAAGAAAGCCACTTCTATCTAAAAAGAACATGGGAGGATAGCTTATAGGTTTGCAAATTTGCATCTGAACAAACTATACAAGACTTCTAGAATGATGTTATGGATATGATATGGATCTTGAAGAATTAGCCTCATATTTATATATACATGTGCAAATATTTTGGATTCTATTGCCCCAATAAAACTGAAATACCCTGATTAGCCTGAGATTACCCTGCCCTGGCTAAATGGTGAATCTAGACTTCTAAGATGGAAATGTAGGCAATCTGAGAGAAAATGGAAAAGAGACAAATTTCAAGTTTCTTATGAAATTTTGAGGGATTGTTAAGTTACTTACCAGCAATTTGTTAAGAATGTTAGGTTATTATATTTTTCCAATTGTATCTCCAGCAATGCTGGTAGACCTAGAAGTTTATTTTGCACTATTAATAGGGTATTAAATCCTAATACGACTTAATTTCCTGATGCATCTCCTTTAATTTGTAGTGATTTTTTTTTTAGTTTTTAGAATCAAAATATTTGCTCTAATATTGTGCATTCTGGGAATGCCTCTTTTGTTGATCATTGCAATTCTGCTACATTATCTAGTTTTGAGCCTGTCTATTTCTTGTCTAATGGAACTTATTTTTCTTATGAAACCTGCATCCTGCTCCCTGGATCCTATTCCCACATCTTTAACTGTGGCAGTATTATACCATTGGTCCTAATATTCAGATCATAATTAATTGTAGTCTTAATAATGGTTATGTTGCATCCTGTTTTGAACATGCAGTGATACACCCTATACTTAAAAATCCTAACCTTGAGCCACAGGTTTTAGCTAATTACCGGCCTATATCAAAACTTACTTTCTTTTCAAATGTGAGAAGGTTGTTATTAATCAACTCTCCTCCTTCTTAAAGAACAGTGACATATTGGACAAGCTTCAGTCTAGGTTTAGAGCTCAATATAGTACAGAAACTGCTCTTTTGAACGTGTTAAATTATCTGTTATTAGCTGTTGACTCTGGAAAATGTGGGGTTTTGGTTCTTCTGGATCTTAGCTCGGCTTTCGATATTATTGATCATTCTATCTTATTGAGATGATTGGAGGAGTACGTTGGAATTAGAGGAACAGCCTTATGTTGGTTTTCTTCCTATTTTAAGGGGAGATCCTTTCTGTAGCTATTGAGAATTTTACCTCTGTCAATGCTGCATGTACATGTGGGGTACCACAGGGTTCCATTTTAGGCCCTATTTTGTTCTCCCTCTATCATCTTCCTTTAGCTAAGATCTTTCGTAAGCATCAGATCTCATACCATTTTTATGCAGATTATATACAGCTTTATCTTCCAATGAAACCAGATGAGAATATATCTCTCCAGTTTCTGATTGATTGTGTGAGTTAAGTTACAATTTGGATGCCGGATAATTTTTTTACAGCTAAATGATTCTAAGACTGAAGTGTTGGTTTTTGGACGGCCTGAATGTGTAGCCATCCTTTCCGAAACTCTGCATCCTATAACTAAAACTGTAGGCATTTGTGTTTGGAATGTGGGCATTATTTTTGACCCAGCTCACAAATTTGATAAACAGATAAATTCAGTTAAGTCAGCATTTTTTCAGATTAGGATGATTGCTAAAATAAAATATTTTCTTTCTTTTAAGGATCTGGAAACTGTTATTCATGCATTTATTTCAATACAATTGGACTATTGTAATTAATTGTATTTAGGGATCACTCAATCTTGTTTATCTCATCTCCAGATGGTCCAAAATGCTGCGTAGTAATTACTAAATTACTAAATTATAAAGGTAGTAATTACTGCTTCACAAAATCCCTGACCTTACAATGTTCAATCAGGATGATGCATCTCCAGGCTAGGAGGAATACAGAACTCAGAACAGGGAACCTGGCTGTGCTTACAAACACTGTTGCAAATGACCTTAGATGTACTATCTTGATACAAATTTGGCTAGAAAATGTTTTGTTTTTCCTTTCCTTTTCTTCTCTTTATTTCAAACCTATATAGGATATTATGGTTCTTTATATTTTTTACAGTGAAATTGCATTACAATTCGGTTAAATCAGCCAAATTTTGGTAACATTTTTGCAGGTAAAAACTGACCATTGTCTGCCGTCAATAGATTAGCGATGTATGAAGCACAGCTCACACAGAAGTCGCTTTTAAACCAAGCAACTTTGTGGCAAACATGCCGAATCTGAGTGAACATTTTCTTGCCCTCGCAAAATTGCCAATTGTGTGGAAATTACAGCATTTCGTCCACAAAATTCTCTGAACAACATTAAATGTGACCGCACTTTTAAATTAGTATTTAAGCTAATGTTGTACGGACAGTTCACCCAAAAATTTAAACTGTCATCTTTACTCGCCCTCATTTCGATCCAAATCTGTATGACTTTCTTTTTTCTGTTTAGCATAAAAGAAGATATAGAACAGAAGTCAATGAAGTCAAAACTGTTAGGTTACCAGTTTTCTTCTTTTGTGAACCAAAATACCTTCTTTTGTGTTCTACAGAGAAATTAAGTCACAGGCTTGGGACTTTTTATTTGTATTTTTTTTTTATATGAACTATCCTTTTAAGTATTGCATGCCCTTCTTGTGCATTAGAGCCAGAGGATTCGGAGTACCTGACTATTCTTTTTTAAGCTCATTTCGTAGCTCCTCTATCTGATGATCTCGTTCACACGTGCACAGCTGACTGAGAGAGGAGCAGCAGGGCTGGAGCCATGGCTTCCATACTATTTGCAGAGGAGAAACCTGTACTGGGACAGGCTTCAGACTCTCTGCATGATGGCTTACTGCTGCCCTTATGACCTCCAGAACTGAGTAGAACTGGGGCTCAGTGTCTGGACTCAGGGGGGTGCTTTCTGTCGGGTCTTTCGACAGGTCATAAAGCAGCGGAGGGTCATGGAACGTGACGTATGGCTTGATGCAGAGGCAGATATGAGTGTGGAAGCAGGCTGAGCTGTTCTCTGGGTAGAAGTCAGGGGTAAAGAAAAAGGCCTTCCAGATTGCGTTACCTGAAAAAACAGGAAATCTAGCTTTCAAAATTTAAACAATCAGTCATCACCTTTATCAATTTCTGAATAATTTACAGTGAAAAATCTTATCTTATCTAATATTATCTACCCATTATTATGTGTGTGTGTGTGTGTGTATGTATATTTATATTAGTGCTGTAAAATTGCTTAAAATAAATAAAAAGTTTGAAAAAGTATCAAAAGTTTGTTTACATAATATATTCTTCAAAATAAGTCAAAATAAAAAAAGTCAAAATAAAAAGTTTGTGTTTACATAATATATGTTATCATGTGCGCTTTATCCATAAAGCAACTTTAACTTTTAGTTTAGTTGTAATCTATTTTGTACACAATACATACATTATCTAGACCAGTGGTCACCAACGTGGTGCCCGTGGACACCTGGTAGCCCGCATGGAGTCTCTAAAGCAGGGGTGGGCAAACTTGGCCCTTCCAGGCCACTTTCCTTCATCTCTGAGCCCGTGACTGTCTTTATCCTAAAGCTACAGTGACTTGTGACTCCTTGAGTGTCTGTGATTAGCTTGCCACCAATGATGTATTTGTATCAAAGGCCACAAACAAAACTTCCTCAGTCCCACACAAGTGCTGACAAACGGGCTCATGATACCTGTGAATGTACCAAAACTGAAATTCCATGCAAATTTCATGTGCAGCTGTCAGTATGTTTGTCATCATATATATATTTGTCATCATTTAGTCATCCTAATGTTGTTCTAAACCTGTTTGACTTCCTTCTGTAGAGCACAGAAGATATTTTTGAAGAATGTTTAAACTGATTTTGTCTGTACGGTTAATGCCTAGTTCACACTACAGGATTTTAAGCCCGATTTAAGCCCGATTTGCAAGTTCATGAGCTCGCCGACAGGTCGGGCTGTGATCGGGGAAAATCAGCGGGTGATTGGCGCTCAGCAATCTTTATGTGTGAACTACATAACGACGCATCAAAGAGGCTCGCTGACGTGTCGCCGACACCTCGCCGACGGCAAACAAATATCTAGCATGCCAAATATCTGGACTGGTCGACCGACTCGACATCA